TATGTGGTGCTGAGGATCGAACCCGGGCCGCACGCATGCCAGGTGAGCGCGCTACCGCGTGAGCCACATCCCCAGCCCTTTTTGTTCCTTTTTTTTTTCCAAACATTTTTTAATGTATATTTTTTTAGTTGTAGATGAACACACAGTATCTTTGTTTATTTTTATGTGGTGCTGAGGATCAAACTCAGTGCCTCATGCATGCGAGGCAAGCGCTTTACCCCTGAGCAACAGCTTCAGCCCCTTTTTTGTTTCATTTCAATTTTGGGACAGGGTCTTGCTAAATTGCTGAGGCCAGTCTTGAACTTGCAATCCTCCTGCCTCAGCCTCCTAAGCTCTACCATGCCTGGCGAAGGGAAAGTATCACCTTGAAATAGAAAAGTGTAGGAAACAATGTAACAACCATCTTGTTTGAGTCTCTCTTACTGATTAGCATCTAAAGAAGAGGCAACACAGGCCCAGGATCCGCATTTCTTCCAAGGAGATGATCCAGTGGGAGTGGGGCAGGTGCTCCTAAAGGTGCTGGGAAAGGTGTGGTCTCTGCACACCCCAGGAGCCCTGGATGGTGGTGGTGAGCTGAACGGCCAAGAGTCAGTGGGGCAGAGGGCAGAAACTGTCCCTGTCCTCCCTGCTGTCCCAGGTAAGGAGCTGCCCTCTGCCTCCAGAGTGGTGTCTTCTCCCCACTGGTGTGGGTGCCCAGCCGTACACAGTAGCATCCCACAACGTCCACTTGAGGACATAACAGACCCACCATTCTTGTGGGTGCCTAGGTCATGCCCTGGTGCTGTGTGGCTACAGTCCCTGATGGTGAGGCATGGACAGGAGCAGGCAAGGAAAGAGCGAATAGGCATGGGGGAGGGGCCAGGCCCTAGCAGCCAGAGACCAGCCTTGGGTTGGGAAGAGAGGCCCCAACTCGCAAATATGGAAGATTAGAAGTCTGGGAGGAGCTTCTTTTTGTCTGTCTAATCTCTTTTTCTTCTTCTCTTTTTTTGCAGTGCTGGGGATTGACGAGGGTCTTTTTTTTTTTTTTTTGTACCAGGAATTGAAGCCAGGGGCATTTAACCACCAAGCCACATCCCCATCCCTTTTTTATATTTTATTAGATTCAGGTTCTCACTAAGTTGCTGAGGCTGGCTTTGAACTCACGATCCTCCTTTTTTCTTCCCTGTGCTTGCAGGGTAATTATATCGAACTTTCTGATCCAGGCAGGCAGGAACAAGGAAACACTTGCCCAATAACAGCTGCTTACAGTAGTGCTGGTCCTCGCTCCAAGTTCAATAGATTCAAGATAGACACTGTGACTCTGCTTTGGTAAAAGGGAAAGGAGGATGTGGTGTCCAAGTCAAAGAACAGTGCACACTGGCTCCCCAAAGGCCTGAACTGTGGACAGAGCCCTGCTTCTGAACCAAAGATGAGCCAGAAAAGCAGTTCACAGAGCCCTAGGGGTTGTCTTCCTAAAGACACCACCACTAACTGGTGAAGAACAACACTGGGACTATGGGATTATGCTAAGGGCATTCAGGAAATGGAGGAACAGTTATTCAAGAAAATCTCTATCTTGGTAGAAGCAACAAGAGCCTATGGCACTTGAGTGGATGGGTTCCTTCTCTACTTCCTACCCAGCTCGGCCTGAGGGGAACTCGACTATCCACTCCTGGTGGGTGTGACCAAGACAAAGGGGTGCCCTCTTGCTTTGGCTCCGTGGCGAGGGCTTCTGCATCTCCCAGGGACAGGCAGGTCGCCACCATGTTGTCTTCCCACTCCTTTGCTTAGCAGAGGGCCACTCCAAGTGGGGGCAGAGGAGGGGTCCCAGCACCCTGCCTCCATCCAGCCCCAATTCATTGACAGAGGCTCCTCCCAGGCACTGCAGGCCAAGCTGCTCTTACTGTAGCTTGCCCAGTAGAGCCAGAAACGATGCCAGGAGCTTGAGATACAGACAGACAAGGCAGCCTTGGATCTCAGCAAACCTCTGGGTGCCCCTGGAGTTGCACGCTCCTTACCCTGGGCAGTCACTGCATTCTTAGGGAGGACCTTAGGTGAATGATTCAGAGAGACGCCCACTCACCCTTCACCACCCTCTTCCTAGTGGGAAGTACCTGATAAAAGTCTGTTTTTTCTGCGATGATTTTCAATATGCCTGGGGCAATGGGAGGCAATGTCACCATCTGTAGCTTGCCAAAGAATGGGTTGTGCCCAGAGCTTTTGTAGCGTTTCATCTTGTCTTCAATGACAAGAGCAAGGGACTGGGAATGGTTTATCACTTCCAGCAGGGTGGAGATGGCCACGTTCTGGAGGTAGCAATCACTCACACAGCAGCAGATGGTCATGAGGGATTTCAGCCACGATGGGAAGCTGGAATCATTGGCTCCTGAAAGGAAGGCAGCCAGAGAGGACAGAAACAAGCAGATCCAGGTGAGATTGGTTTCTAATCCACAAATTCTACAGCATCCTGAGTCCAGCAGTAACTGGAGAGTCACCTGGACAGCAGTGTGCCAACCTGGGGGTGTGACGCTTACTTGGAAATAGGGCCTGTACAGATGTAACCACGTTAAGACGAGGTCATCAAGGTGTCCTTTATAGAGGAAGAGGCCACGTGAGGAGACACGAGGAGATCGCCAGGTGAGGGAAGAGGCAGAGACTGGAGAGAGGCAGCCACTAGCTCAGGAAGGCCAAGGTTGCTCTGGGAAGATGCAAGGCAGGTTCAACCCAGAATCTCAGGGTGCATGGCCCAGGGAACACCTTGACTTTGGACCTCTGGCCTCTTGGACTATGAAACAGTAAGTTTCTATTATTGATGTCACCCAGCTGTGGCCCTTTGTTATAGTGCCCATGCAAGCCATACATAAATCTCTAACAACAGGTATCATGGAATGGTCTGCTTACTATGACTGGGCACGGTTAATATGATAGATCTTTTGACGGGCTGTTCCAGACATTCAAATTTTAAAAACATAGACCCAGCCCTTATCAACTTGTTATATAATGACACATAAACTAAAAATGTATACAACTTCAATCCCCAGCATCAGACAAACATAAAACTTTATACACCTGATTATAAAATAAGGAGGGAAACAACTGTGGCGGATATAAGCTAAGCATCACTTATCCAAAAGGTCTGGGACCAGAAGTGCTTCAGGTTTTAGATTTTAGGATTTCTGGAATATTTGCATAGCCTTAACTGATTGAGCATCACTAATCCAAAATGCTTCAAAATCATGTGTCAGTCTCAAAAAAATTTGGATCTTGGGTTGGGATGCCCCAGCACAGTCCCTTCTTGGCTGACACACTTTTAGCTGGTCTGTAAGCATCAGCCACCTCAGTTACAGCGTCCTCAACATCAGGCTCCCTGCCTCCCTCTCACCTGGAAGCTGGAAGAGAGTTTCATAGAGCTGCTCTGTCTCCTCCTCAGACAGGTAGACAGGGAAGGTGGCGCAGTCCAGCAGCAGGTGGCAGGCGGCGGCAAAGGCCTCCCTGCAGTCCTCCTTGGAGCCCTCCAGGTGGATGACCACCTGGTCAACATCCCATTCTCCTCCTGTTTTTCTGCCAGGGCTACTGGGCAAGGATGACGGCGATTCTGAACTTTTTGTTTTGAATGGAGACCCACGTACGGTGAATAGGTCTGAAAGCATCTGCTTAAACTGGGGCACAGTGAGGGGCTTGGCCTCCCACGAGTTCTTCCTGCCCGTGTCGTCGCCCACCGTGCTCTGGGGCCCGCCTTTTGCCCTCTGCCCTGCAGGCTCTTCAGACTTGCTTTCTTCCCCAGACGTGGTCAGTGGTACCGTAAAGATGTTCCTGCTGGCAAAGTTGGCAATCAGCTCCTGGATGCAAAGGAACGTCCTCTGCATGCTCCCACCCTTCTTCCAAATGTCATCTCTTTCAGGAGAAACTCGAGGGACCCTCAAGTGCTCAGAAAGCTCTGGGGATGAGGCACTGAGCCCGATTCCGCTGTCCTCAGATTTCAGTGGGGGAAAGGAAGCGTCTTCATCCACCGGAACCACTGCCTTTGTTTCCACAGTGATTTCGCCTTTTACTGGACTCTGCAAAAGATGAAAAACACGTTGTATTGTGAGCATCACTTAAGATCACCTGTGGTGGTCAATGAATCAAGTGTCAGACGAATCAGACAAACGGTGAATGTGTTTCAAACCTCTTTTTCCAAAACATAACTCTTGCAACAAAAGAGTCCCCTGTAAAAGTGTGTAATAAGAGGGCAAGGGAGGGCAGGGGAGGAGATGACAGCTCCAGGGGAGGAACCAGCACGCTCAGCAGGCCGGCCAGCCTTGGGAGTCTACTTTGTCTTATTTATTGAGACTCTTCAGTGTTCAAAACAGTTGTTTAAAAATTGTTTCTAGGGCTGGGGATGTGGCTCAAGCGGTAGCGCGCTCGCCTGGTATGCGTGCGACCCAGGTTCGATCCTCAGCACCACATACCAACAAAGATGTTGTGTCCGCCAAGAACTAAAAAATAAATATTTTAAATTAAAAAAAAAATAAAAATAAAAATAAAAATTGTTTCTAACTGGGCTGGGGATATAGCTCAGTTGGTAAAGTGTCTGCCTTGCATGCACAAGGCCCTGGGTTCAATGCCCAGCACCACTACCACCAAAAAAAAAAAAAAAATGATTCTAACAAATTTAAAAATACGAATAGGAAAATGAGTTGATGGCAAAATAAAGGCACGAAGAAATAAAGCAAAGAGGAAGCTGGCACAGAGCAGCTCCTCCAAAACACACACGCAAGTTGACAATCACTAATCTGAAATGCTCCAAAATCCAAACACTATAAGCACTGACACAATGCTGGAAATGCAAAACTTCAAACCTGATCTCACATGACGGGTCACAATCAAAATGAAGGGGCACTGGGGCTGGGGATGTGGCTCAAGCGGTAGTACGCTCGCCTGGCATGCATGCGGCCCGGGTTTGATCCTCAGCACCACATACCAACAAAGATGTTGTATCCGCGGAAAACTAAAAAATAAATATTAAAATTCTCTCTCTCAAAAAAAATATTAAAAAAAAGAAATACAAGAAAATTTAAAAAAAATGGGCACTAAAAATACTGTCTGAGGTGTATATACAACATAAAAGAATTCTGTGTTCTGACTTGGGTCCCATCCCCATGATATCTCATTATATATATGCAAATATTACAAAATCTAAAACACATCTGGTTCCAAGCATTTTGGATAAGGGATACTCAACCTGTCCATGTCACACATGAACACACACATACAGTGACGGCACTTCAAACATTAAACACTTTTCTCTTTTCCTACACTGTTCTTTAGACATTATATTCAATGCGAAATTCCTTAGCATTTACCCCACTGTGCTTTCAGGGAAGAATGAGACGGGGAATGTGGTTTTAGAAATGTGTTGTTACTCATATCTGTAAACTAGAAGTGATTAATGTTCTAGTTTGGATCTGGAATGTCTTCCCAAAGGCTCCTGTGTTGAACAATGAAGGCCTGATCCCCAGGTGGCAGCAGAACCTTCAGGAGATGGGAAAAAGCAGGTCACTGAGGCAGGCCACTGCAAGGGTCTAGCCTGTCTCCAGTCTGCCTGTCCCCGTCTCCTTCTCTGCTTCCTGGTTTCCATGGGGTAAACAGCTCCTGCCCTTGCTCCCACCAGGATGCTCTGTCTCACCACAGGCTCAGACACAATGCAGCTAAGTGACTGTGAGCCCCATGAGTCTTTCCTTCTCTAAGGTGGTTCGCTCAGTGGTTTGTCAAGCTGACAGACACTTCAGCTTTGTACCTTGGATCTTATTTCAGGACGTTTTTTCTAACAGCTAGAACAGCCAGAGGAAAAAAGAACACTAAATTCTAAGTCTGTAATTAGTCTATAATCTGATACTGAATGTCTATCGATCACTCATTTGCCACCAAACCCTAATCAATACCTGCGACACTGTCTCTGAACGCCTCAATTTTTAGTCTGTTTGTACCCATCTGCCGTTGCCCTGAACTGGTTTCAAATCTCCAAATAAAGAAGGAAATAAAAATAATTCAAAGAACATGGGTATCAAACATTTCAGATTATCACTGTTTGTCTTTTTCGAAGACGTGTCAGCATCTCTCACAGATTAAGAGGCTGTACGTGCTTTTCAATCACAACCTGTTGTCAAAAATTCATCCTTCAGAGACACTGGCGCCTGTGCACGGTTGTAGAAGGAGGCTACCTGTGAAACTGCTTTGAACAGAGAAAAATTAGAAAGAACCCAAATGATCTATCTAGTTTTTTTTAGTACTCATGTCCCCCAAATATTGTCTGAGTGAAAACCAAAGAAAGTCACAAAAGTGTGTGCCGTGGGTTGGACGATGAACCTCAATCCTAGCCCCGAGTGCCCTGGAATTTGAAAACAAGGTCTTTGCAGGTGATCAAGTGAGAATGGAGTGAGAATTAGGATAGGTGCTACTCCAACAGGACTTCCGTCCTCATAAAATGGAGAAATCTGGACACAGAGATAGATGCATTCAGGGAGAGAGTCCCGTGAACATGAAGACTGATGTTTCAATGAACCAAGAACACCCAGGACTTCCAGCACTCCAGCAGAAACTGGGAAAGGCCTGCACAGTCTTCTTCTGTGGTGCACTCAGGAAAAGCCAACCCTGTGGACACCTTAATACTGCTCTCTAGCCTCCAGAACTGTGAAAAAATTTCTGTTGTTTACACCACCCAGTCTTAGGAACTTTGTTACAGCAGCCCTACAAAGCAATCCATATGGTTGCTTGCCTTTTATTTATTTATTTTTTAATTTTCTTTTTAGTTATACATGGACACAATATCTTCATTTTGTTTATTTATTTTTCTTTTAAGAAAGAGTGAGAGAGAGAGAATTTTTTAATATTTATTTTTTAGTTTTTGGCAGACACAACATCTTTGTTTGTATGTGGTGCTGAGGTTCGAACCTGGGCTGCATGCATGCCAGGCGAGCACGCTACCACTTGAGCCACATCCCCAGCCCTTGTTTGTTTATTTTTATATGATGCTGAGGATCAAATCCAGTGCCTCACATGCGAGGCAAGTGCTCTGCCACTGAGCCACAACCCCAGCCCAAAAGCTTGCCTTTTAAGTAACCCAAATCACATGCATCCACACTTACACATCCAAAGATTTGAAGCCCGGCTACATGCAGGCACTGAGTGAAGCTGTGTAGTATGAGTTAGCTATATCTTGCCATTAACCCAGCTATGTAGCTTGGGAGGGGTGAGATGAAGGGAGGTTAGTAACACTGAAACCTTTCAAAGTGTTCACGTGTTTCACAAGCTTACTTGATGTGTTACCTGTACATCATCCATAATCCTGCCCAGACCAACCCTCATTACCTTCCACTTCCCGGACACGAGAGCCAGCTCACTCCCAGTCACCTACCGAGTTTCCACTTGTGGGCTCCGTATCTAGGTAGGAGGGCGGCATCTGGACTTTGCTGAGCACCTTGAAACATGTCTTCAAGGCGTGCGTGAGCTCAGGTAAGCTTAAGGCTTCCACCTCCTCAGCAAGAGGCTGCACCAGGCAGCCGAGCACCTGAGGAAGGTACTGGGTCTGCACCTCTGAGTACAGCTCCTGTGGAATAAAAGCACCATTCATACACATGTTCCCAGTTTCCCACCCAGAAAAATAATGCACCTCAAAATGGCACTTCACAAATTTTTTTTTTTTTGTCCTGGATTGAACCCAGGGGTGCTTAACCATTAAGCCACATCCCCAGACCTTTTTATTTTTTATTTTGAGAAAAAAGTCTTGTTAAGTTACTGAGATGGCCTTGAACTTATGATCCTTTTGCCTCAGCCTCCTGAGTTGCTGGGATTACAGGCATGTGCCACCAAGCTTGGCTCAAGTGCACAATTTTAACTAGGAAGTATAATTTCTTTCACACCTAAGTAACTGTACTATCAGTTCATCCCACCATCTGGTTTATATAACTTTAGTTTTGCCCACTTACAACTGGCCAAATGTTATAATACCTTTCAAATGAGATATTCAAAATATAAAAGGACATAGCTCAGTAGTACAGCATGTGCTTAGCATGCAGGAGGTGCTGGGTTTGATCTGCAGTACCCTCCAAAAAAGGAATAAAGGAAAAAAAAAATAGAGATTACATCCAGACACACACTTCATAGCCAAACAAACATAAAGATCTGTGTGCGTGTGTGTATTTAGGTAAAGCTGCTTTTCAGTACATTTAGGTTTATAAAGTAGGCTCCCAGGACTAATAAGAGCATGAGCTGTCTGTCCACAGCAAGCACCTACCAAGGGAATGACATCCAGAAGGAATACGAGGAGGGTGCAGAGCTCCGAGACCGTGGGGGCAGGGCTGACGCCTTTTCCAATAGCGTTACTCTGCTTCACCGGTCTACATTATTTAAAAGAAAGAAAATCAGATTCATCTTTCATCCTACAGTAATTTCAAGCATCTTATGATTTATAGTAATGAATCCATTTCAAACCTAATGAAAGACAGCTTTGATAGTTCTAACACCTAAGCTATGGTGACCAACTCAGAGAAGGGTCAGCAAGTGCCCTGAATCTGTCTCCCAACTCGGTTCCTTTGGTTTGAACTCCACTGGTGCAAATGTGGGTGGTTCCATGACTGCGTGGGATTCCACACCCAGCAGACCTCAGAGCTTTCAGTGTGCATATCCAAGGCCCCCGACCCCAAACCAAAGGCAGGTTCTGAGGAAACAGGCCTGGGCCAGAGACAGTGCAGGCCCTGAGACACCTCCTTCCTAGCGGACAGTCAGGAGCTCATCAGCAAGAGCTGCTTAGAATTCTCCCATGTCACAGAGAAGTGCAACTCCTAAACCCGAAGCTCTCCAAGTACTGTTGACATGGTGCCACGGGTGGGAACCAACCCATAGTCAGCTGCTTAGCTGATCCAAACTCAACACTTTTTACTCAGCAGGTAACTGGGTAAATGGTAAATGGTTAAAAAGTACCATCAACCTGGTGAATCCCTGAATTCCACAAATGTGGATCCAACCAACCACAGATGGCAAAAAACCCAAACAAATATGCATCTGTACTGAACAGGTACAAATTTTTTCCTGTTCATTATTCTCTAAACAATGTACCCATTCACAATGACAACTATTCACAGCACTGACATCATATGGAGCACTGTCAGGTCATCTAGAGATGATTTAGCATACACCGGAAGATGGGCATAGGCCATAAGCAACTACTGTCTTTCATCGCAGGGACCAGAGCATCCAGACCTGGGCATCTGCAGGGGATCCTGGGAGCAATTCCCTGAGGACACCAAGGGATGAATGGATATGTTGGTTCTCAAAACATAGTAACCTGGGATGCATCTAGCTGTCACAGTACTACTCGACCTGAGTTAGTGTGTTTTCTTGTAAAGCAACGCTAGTTATCTTGGAGCTCACCCTAGAAGGAGAATTCCTGCAGAGAGCTGTAGCCTATGCTGCACCTCAGGGATTCTGCTTCTAGGTGTCTACTGGAAAGACAGTGTGCACCTACACAGACAGGGTGAACGTTCCCCACGGTACTACTCACACGACTGAGAGTGAAACTGGGCCACCAGCATGAGCTGCTACAGCGCCTCAGACACACAAACTGGATGAATGCGTTAAGATACAGCTGTAGAGTGCTAACCCCCAAGGAGCACCTTACAGGAGGGTGCGTACCACCTGGCATCACTCAGGTAGCATGCAGCAGATGACACAGACTGCCACTCACGGACACACACTTGCTGTAACAGTACACACCAGCATCATGGGAAAGACACCAAGTGCAGAACGGGGACCAACCTGGGATGAAAGGAGGAAGCGCTGGCAGGTGGGCATTAGCTCTATCTGGGGAGCAACGTTTAAACAAGCACCTTGGGGTGGAGTTCAGTGGTAAGGCCTCCCCAGCCAGGCAGGAGCCTGGGTTTAATCGCCAGTACCACAAATAAAACAAAACAAACAGCCCAGGGGCTGGTAGTGTGGTAGAATGCCTGCCTAGCACTAAGGTCCTGGTACCACAGTACCACAAACAAGTTTTTAGAAATTCAACAAAAAATAGCCGGGTTTGGTGAAGCATACCTATAATCCCAGTGGCTCGGGACATGAGGCAGGGGGATCACAAGTTCAAAGCCAGTCTCAGCAAAAGTGAGGTGCTAAGCAACGCAGTGAGACCCTGTCTCTAAATGAAATACAAAATAGGGCTGAGGATGTGGCTCAGTGGTCGAGTGCCCCTGAGTTCAATCCCTGGTACTCCTCCCCCCAAAAATATAGACTGGGATATGGATCAGGGGTACAGTACTCGCCTGGCATGAGCAAGACCCTGGGTTCTATCCTTTGGGATGAAGTTAAAGTAAATAAATAGCCCCAGGTGACCAAAGCAAGCTTCAAGCTCAGTACCACCTGGCCTTGCTGCTGCCTGTGGGTCCAGTGACAAATGACTCAGGACAGGATAAGCCTATCTGGCCTGGTGCTTGGGGAGGCAGAAGAGCCTCACTGCAGCAGTTGGGAAGTCAGATGCCCAAGGCAGGCACTGCTGGGTTCTAGTCGTGGCTGCCACTGAGGAGCGGATTCTTCATGTCACTGGGCTCTAGCTTTCTCATGTCAAAATCATGATGACAAAGTGCCTGTTTCTCTTGAGGATGCTCCAAAGCACTGAAGTAAGGCTATCTAGCCACCAGACATGCCCAGCACACTGTTTATGTGGAAAGCTTCTGTTACAGCTGGGCATGTGAATAGGGAGAGGTTCCAAGCATCGCAGCAGAGATTAAAAAGAAAGAAAGAAAGAAAGAAAGTTCTACCACAGACCTCAAGGGACAAAACAGAGTTGAAAAGGCTGCATTCCTCCTCCTGAAAGGCAATGACCTGGGAGAGCTCTCTGGGGAGCCTGCTGTCCCTGCTTGTCCCAAGCACAATTCTGAGGTCATGCAATTCACCCACAGATTAAAAGTAATAGCAAAGCTGATTACAGTAGTTTAAAACATTACTGCTTTTATCTGACCCGATTACACACTCATTTCAATAAGAATTTAAAAAGAGTGAAGAGATCAAAAGCACTCCATCCAATCCCCAAGACATAGAACTAAGCTGCGCTAAGGAGATTGGGCCAGCAAGAGAACAGTGCACAGAAAGCCGATTTGATGAATATAACCAGAAAAATGCACCGCGAGTTTTCTTAAGTGAGATTTAGTAAATAAAGCAGCTTCAGAATTATGTGGCAAAGGTTATGTGAATCATCTTCTTGGGGACATCTTTAATCCTGTGAGAATCTTAAGTGGATTCTTCCCAATCCTGTTTTGGCTGAATGCTGAAGCTCAGGAGAGATCACCTGACTTCAGCTCTTACGAACACTCCGCCACACTGAGCAGCCCAGAGCAGTGACACCTGCCCAGCTTCCTACAGTGCCACACCTGCTTACCTGAAGCATTGCTCAAAACACCTCATCATGTAATCCCACAGGAAGTCCGTGCTGAGGGAGGAGACCAGCAAGTTCACTGTCTTCACGATCTCAGAGGCATTTCTGTTCTCTTTGATTGTGCTGTAAAAGGAGGGGAGAAAGGAGACACACCTATGAAAAGCCCCAAGTTGCAGGAACACTGAATCTGCAAAGTTGTAATAGATTTCTCCATTTATGAGGTATTTCCACAGAGGCTGACAAATTCTAATCAAGATTAAAAATATTGTTGTTCAGGGGCTCAGTGGTAGGGTGCTTGCCCAGCAGTGTGAGACCGCAGGGGAAAAGATGAGTTCTAGCTGGGTGTGGTGGCACAAGAACAAGACACAGGGGTTACAAGTAGCCGCACACTCGAAGCCAAGGTGCCTGCTGTCCCCAAACTCCACCCCTCTGCCTCAGCACGCAGACTCTGCCCTTGGTGTCCTGCCTCAGTCCACCGGCCCACGTCTGGACTTCCTCCCCATCTGCTCTTCTCTCTGTGCGGGACTTGCCATGTGCCACCCTGGATCAAGCTGCCTTTGTTGCACAATTTGCACATTTCATCAGTGAACACCATCTGCACACCCAGGCCAGGGAAGGGACCAAACTCCTTCACGTTCTTCACTGGACTCAGTGGGGAACAATCAATTCGTGTTGACTGACTTAAGAGCATGGATTGCTGTCACAAGTGACTCAGCCTGCTCCATGTCCACTGTCTCTAGCATGTTACGACTTACAGTGAACTGCAGAGAAAAAGAAAATTTGGGCTCTGGGAGGGAGGAAGACATGTGAGGTTAGAGGCCATATCCATACCTTATCAGAAGATTTCCACTCTGAGTGTAGCTGAGCTTAAGGTCAGAGCCAAGGGCATCTCTACAGTAAGAATAAAAGGCTCTGATGACTTCGAGAAACAAACTCTCAACCACTTGAGGCCCTGTAATCAAAAGAAAATGGTCAGAGAAGGACTAAAATCCTTTAAAAATCACATGCAAGGGGCTGGGGTTGTGGCTCAGTGGTAGAGCGCTCGCCTAGCACGTTCAAGGCACTGGGTTCGATCCTCAGCACCACATAAAAATAAATAAATATAATGAAGGTATTGTGTCCAATGACAACTAAAAAAAATTTTAAAAAATCATATGCAACACACATAAAACATAGAGTAACTCCACATATAGGCCTTTTACTCCAGATCACACAGCAACATAACTTAAGGGGTGAGAATGACATCTTTGACTAGGGGATGACATTGATGAAAAAAGCCAGCACCTGTCGAGCTTGCTTTGTGCGGATTCTGCTGTTGGCACTTCACACGAAGACCTTCCTGAATCCTCACCACTGCCACACACAAAGTGCTCTACTGTTGTTCCCAAGGACACCTAAGGTGACTGGGGCACAGACAGCCTAGGCAAGTTGCCCAAGCCAGCTTCTGCTAGGTGCAGGCCAGCTGCCCGTGATATGTTCCAAGAGTGCACAAACGGCATGGCCAGACGTGTTACTCAACAGAAATAACCGCCAAGGAGGGCCACTTCCCTATCCTCCGTTCTTCCCTATCTTCTATCATGAGCCAAAATAATGCAAAAGAAATAACCCCAGTCCTGAAAAGCCTATAAAGATCCACAAAAGAACTGCACTAGCTGGGCGTGATTGCACACCTGTGATCCTAGTGACTCAGGAGGCAGAGGCAGGAGGATCCCAAGTTCAAGGTTAGCCTTGGAAATTTAGTGATATTGTCTCAAAACAAAAAATAACCAGGGCTAGGAACATAGCTCAGTGGCCTAGCAGTAGCTGCACGTCAAATAGCTTTCTGCCAATCAGGCAGTACACTGGACAGGACATTCTGCTACAGCAGCCATCCAGTAGGCAGCTGGGGGATTAACACCTCCCCACATATTCAGAGGGATGGACGCATGTCAGTTCATAGAATATGAAAGTCTGCCAACACCACTGTACAAAAAGCAATAAGTAGGTTGAGCTAATCTCCCCCACCCTGGATTTGTGGCACTGGGGGTTGTAGACACTAAGCACACCCTACCACTGAGCTGAAACAAAGTCAAAAGATGTGCCTCTGAGAAAACTATCTCCAAGATAAACCTTGTATATATCTTATCTTTGGCGTAAGAATGCCAAATGTCTCTTACAAAACAAAGGCGATTTTGTCATTCCTGCTCTTGGAGGAGGAGGTCAGATATGGCTAAAAGCCCAGGTGCTGAGAGGACAGAGAGACTGGAAGGCTGTGCTGTGCCTTCCAGCTCCACATCATCTCCTTCCTCACCCCTGTGAACGCTGTCCCTCAGACAACCAAGTCATCAGGCCAGCAAATTAGTGGCTGTTATGACTGGACAGAAGCTGGACATCGTCCCCTTCCAGAAAATACGACCTGGAGATCCAGAGAGTAGCAGCAACAGTTACTTGGCTCACAAGGCGCATGGCTCGGACATAAAACACACAGCTCCAAAACGCTGAGCTACAGTTTCTTCTTGAGTACTTGCCCAAGCCCCCAGCACATCAACACGACCGGCTTCAGTTTTAGTCTATAAACTTGTGGCTTTGGAGAGTGCAGTTATTCCACAGTCACAGAGGAAGGTTGGCAGGGGAGGGAGAGAAACAGGAGTCTGAGCAGCGCACAGACAGCACAAACGGCATGGCCAGACGTGTTACTCAACAGAAATAACCGCCAAGGAGGGCCACTTCCCTATCCTCCGTTCTTCCCTATCTTCTATCATGAGCCAAAATAATGCAAAAGAAATAACCCCAGTCCTGAAAAGGTAGTGCGTAAAGGCAGGGCTGGGAAGAACAGACCACCTCACGCTTGGGTTTGGTTGACAGCGGCTGGAGCCACAGTGGAGGCAAAGTTCCTTTTGTGGCACAGGAAGCATCTCAGGGATGGCTGGTCTCAGTGTACCCAGGCCAGCAGCAGGGTCTGATCAGGAGAGCTCGGGCCTCTGGGAAGTCTTGGACAAGCAGCTCACCTGGCTCAGCCTCAGGCTCCCTAGGCAAAATGGGTATCACGAGAGAACCCCCCTTCTACGGAGACATGTTAAGACCCACCATGTCCCACCATGACACTCATAGAGGACACTATAAAATCCTATAAAAACTGCTCAATTTAAGTGGTTATAGGTGTCCCATATACAAGATGGATTACAGGACACAATGGATTAAACGATATATGCAACCGAGTAGAATGGCACCCAACTTGTTCCCAACTATTTGGGAGACTGAGGCAGAAGAATTGAAAGTTGGAAGCCACCTAGGCAACTTATCAATACTCTGTCTCAAAATAAAAAATTAAAAAGGACTGGGGATGTAGCTTAGTGGTAGAGTGACCCTGGATTCAATCCCCAGTATGGCAGAAAAAAACAATGTGTGCAAATCACCTGGCACAAAATAGTTGCTCAAAAATTGTCAGCTACTGTCATTATTTAAAAAAAAACAATGCAAGGCAGGGGTGCTGGCTCATGCCTGTAATCCCAGCTACTGGGGAGGCTGAGTGGGGAGGACTGAAAATTTGAGGCCAGTGTGGGCAATTCATCAAAAACAGTTCAGACACTCCAGGACTTCAGGGTGCCCTCCATCGATCCGGGTGAGGAGCCTCCAACCTCTGTGCACCCACAGAGCCTGACACGGCCCCTTGCCACACAGCAGAGGCTTTGTAACAGACTCAGCGAATAAAGGAAGGGCCTCCCTCCTGAGACCAGAGAGATAAGCACCACCAGAATGTCCTGGCTCCTGTTCTCTGCAAGCAGGGGGCAGGGGCAGGGGCAGGCACCTGTAGGACACCGTGGGGCTGGCAGTGCGACGAGAAGAGGGAGCGTTCCCTGTCCCGGGCCCAAGTGACCAGATGTCAGATCAGACAGTGAATGGATACTGCAGAGAATGTTTTGAAAAGGCCAGAGAGGGGGCATCTCCGCCGATGCTCACAGGGCTGCAGAGAGTAGGAGGAGGTCCTCAGGAAGCCCAGCCTGGTTCGACCGCCATCATTTTACGGTAAAATGCTTCCATTTCACTCGGTGATGTGTTCATGGTCACAAAGGAGAAATTCAAGGCAGGTGCTCCCCTATCTAGCTTAAAATAAAGCCCAAGTGCTCTGGAGCAGGACACTGAGACCAAATGTTCCTCAGGAGCAAATCTCTAGAGGCTCCAGGGGCACAGGCACCTGTACACGCAGGAGCCGACAGGCACTTTCCTAAGAAAAACAGCCCAACCACTGGCAAGACCTCCAGGCAGCCTGGGGAGAGAACCAAACCTCCTGGCTTCCAGATTCCAAAGACCAGAGTATTGTCAAAACAACACAGTGATCGTCCTCACTGTATTTTAATTCTCTGAGAACAGGTGGCCCACATGTTACTAACGTTACCTATTTCTGGCTTGTCAAGCAGACTGACGAGGATCCGGAAGGGCTTCAGGTAGGCGTGGTGACGGTCCTCCGTGTCAGCGTCTAAAAACTTCTGATGCAGTATCTCAGCCAGACTCTGTTTAAAAGCCACACACTAGGATACTGCTACGGTTAAGCATGACATTAGGTTGTCCTAACTGCTAAACACTGGGAGAGAGAACCCTTCCCCGGCACACAGACATACCACGGTCCTCCCAGCCCCGTGGCAAGGGCCACTGTGAAGTCTCACAGAGAAACCCGCGACAGAGTCCTGATGAGGAATGCTCCAAAAGGGGTCAGCTTTCCAGAAATGTCCTTTACCTCAACTAAGAGATCCTTGGAATATTTTTCAAAAAAATAAGAAGACTGGTCTTCGTAAGAAGAGATTTTAGATTCCGGAACAATGGTGTTTCCCTTCATGTCTGAACCTATAAAAGAACACACATCACAAACAGTAAAGAGACCTATGCTTTTACAGGACTTCAGTGGAAAAAAGTCTCAGACACTGATAGCTTTAAAAACAGAACTCCTCCAATAGAACTCCCGAATCAGATCAAGCCACATCATTTCCCCCCAGTGCTGGGGATAGAACCCAGGGCCCCCTCGTGTGAGACGTGAGCTCCACTCTGAGCGACACCCAGCCCCACACCTCCTGACAGCGGGGTGACTGAGCATCAGGCAGGCGGATTCCAGCTCCGTTTGTCCCAGGGATCCACCCTGCCTGGGACAAGTGTAACTGCAAGTATGTGGCAAAAGGAGGACTGCTTTCTAAAGCTGCCTCCACTTGTCCAGCACCACGTGAGGTGCTGGCATTTCCGTGGATGCACTACACACCCTCATTCTGAGGCACGGCAGTCCACGAGGTCCTCAGGCCAAGGACAAGCACTGTCCTCACGAGGTGATCAAGAATCTGGGGCTCCTGGGACACAGCTGGGGATGGTCCGGAGTCCTCACTATCCATGGAATATGCATTAACAGAGGAGCCTTCCGCTACACATCCTGAAAGAGCCCTGGCCATCATGAGTCCTTAGTGAGCTTCTTGCAACACCTGTTGGAGGCTATGTGCCTAGGGAGGTAAAGGGAAGAGCAACCCAGAGGACTTCCTGACTTGGGTGTGATAAGGTCATGCACTGATGGTGAACAAAAGCGATGGTGCTCAGTCACAATGGCTTCTCGCATTACCTTTCCTTAGGGACATGAAGAAGGGACTCTATGAAGTTCATAGAAGGGCTACCTTCAGTCCTCTGATCTCCTGGGCTCCGTGCCTTGGAAGCTTTCTGACCAATAGTCCCGGGCACTTTGCCTACGAGTCCACAGACCGCCTAGGGACACACATGCTCCTGCACAGAAACTCAGCCCAGCGGCTTTGTGCGCTCCAAAGTTACCAACGCCTCCCCAGGCGTCCCATTTACACGAGACCTTCTCTGTTATTTACACATATTCCAGTATTTGTGGGCTTTCTCCATATACACCCTCATCCTGTGAAACTTTTCTTTAGAATAGGCTGCTAATTCAGTAAGATTCAGCTACAATTATTTTGTGTGTGGTATTTCAAGCTCTTGAAATGGAAAATGGAATTCAGTTGGCATTTTGAAAATCCCACTAATTTCCCTTTTTAAAAAAAAAAGCTGCAAAGAACCCAAGCTGTGTGTGGGAAGCAGCCCTCGGCTGACCAGTGCTATACTTAGTGTGGCATCTTGGCATCTTTCCACACTCTGACTCAGAAACATCACCAAGACTGAAACTCATCCCCAAGTCAGTGCTAGGAGGTTCTGTGCCCCCTGACTCTGAATGACTGCGTACCCAGCAGCCAGGCATAGAGTCTTCTGTTGAGAGACATGTCCCTTCTCAGCAGGGTTTGGGTGGCGGCCGAGAGAATGTGCACGATGTCCCATCTGAGCAGGGGAATGGCTCTCTCGTTGGAATCCTGTTAGAAGGACAGAGAAGACCTTACTGCAAGGGACTGACACAGCAACCGCTGGCTCTGACACGCAGCCCTTCCTTCACCACCCACCCCAAGGGCAGTTCTCAAAAGAGGTGGATTTTTCCACATCACCCTTGGAAAGAAGCTAATTGATAATTGCTATGGAAACACCATCCTACAAAAACAAACAAAGGCCTTTAATTGGCAGAAAGCAAACAGTGACAATGCAGAGGCCTCGAGCTCTGCTCTCACGAGACAATGCTTGAGCCTTATGCTCAACTCCTGTGCCTGCGAAGTGGCAGGGACTTGTTCAGAAGGATTCACACGACTTACCAGACAGGAATAAAATGGGAAGAAGAAGAGAACAATCTCCAGATTATTTCTCTGTACAAGAACATTCGAGTCCAACAAGGATGCACATAGTGATTTCACCTATAAATGATAAATGACACAGTTTGTTCCAACGACATGTGACATCCTTTGCAGGCTGTCCTTTATAGTCATAAAAACGAAGCAACCCTTTGACAACACCACATTAGAGCATGCAGAATAGAATAAGCTGTAGGTCAGGACGGTAGGGGCTGGATATCTAGGGGTAGGGGTTAAGTGACATGGGGAAGATGCCCAGCTCGGACCGCGCCTGCTCCACGAGGGCTGCAGGAACATCAACCAGATGGTCAGCTCTGAGACCTCAAACTCTGTGATCCCAGAGAGGATCCGACAGGAATCTTGCACTAAATGAAAACTCAGAAGACATGATCCAGTGGATTCCAGATAATCAATACCTATTTCAAGTGTCATTTCTGAATACAGACAGCGAAAATACACCTGCATCAGAGCTAAAAGCCAAAGACAATGTATCGTGAAAAGCCATGAGGGTCCAGAAGAGGAGGAGGAAAGCCCTTTCCACTGGGGAGAACTGGAAGCTAGGCTCCAAGGACAGGAAGCAGCCACACTGAGTTCTGTGTGGAGGAAGGGTGAGAGGAAGTTGTGAGTCACGAGGGAGGGAGCTGGCCGGGCAAATAGCCTCACGACCAGGCCCCGTGGGCAGCCCTGCGGAGGGCAGAGGGCCTGAAGGGAGCAGGTGAGTGGCATCTGGGAGCCGACTCAGAAAATTCGAGTTGGACCTTCTCTGTAAGCAAGAGGAAGTCAGACATCTTAACGGCATAGGACGGATATTAACAAAACCATGTTTTAGTAAAGCAAAACTCTTGGCAACTGGCGAGGACAGGATGAGTAGAAATCAGTTAGAAAATTACATTTTGATGGTAGAGCAAAACCTGAGAAGCCAAAGCAGAGCCATGAAAATGGAGAGAAAGAGACACTGACAGGGCAGGAAGAAAGGAGGCTTATTGATGTGTCTCCCACATTCCGGCCACTGGCAAGGTGATTTTCATCCACTTCGTCAACAGAAAGACCCTGTGAGGGAGAGCTACCATCCACGGAGGAACAAGCTCACAGGAATAAAAGGGAAATGAACCAAACAGACACTTCTCAGAAGGAAAAATACAAATGGCCGAGAAATACATGAAAAAATGTTCAACACAACAGAAGTTAGGGAAATGCACATCAAAACTACACCATGATTTCACCTCACACACGTCAGAATGGCAGTCGTCAAGAATGCAAATAATAATAAATGCTGAAGAGGATGTGGAGAAAAAGGAAATTTTATACCATGGTAGGATTGTAAATTAATTCAACCACCATGGAAATCAGCATGGAGATTCCTCAAAAGACTAGGCAGGGAACCCATGCCCATAAGACCCAGCTATACCACTCCTCAGAACTTATCCTAGAGAATTACTGTCAGCACACCACAGCAACGCAGGAGTACCCACGCCGAGGGCAGCACAACAGCCAGACAATGGGACCAGCCAGGTGTCCATCATTGGATGAATGGGTAAAGAAAACGTGGTACACAGTGGAGTTTTACTCAGCCATGTCGAAAAATAAAATTATGTCATTTGCAGGAAAATGGATGGAACTAGAGACCATTATGTGAAGTGAAATGAGCCAAACTCAGAAGTCAAGGGTCGTGTTTTCTCTGATGTGAAAGCTAGAGAGGAAAAGAAAAAACAGTGGAGGAGGCAGGGATCTCATGAAAATCAAAGAGAGATCAGTGGAGGAGAGGGACTGGGGGAGGAGGCCAGGAAGGAGGAGGGAAAGTGCTGGGGAGCGATATGTCAAATTATACTGTTAACTGTGTGCATGTACAAATAAGTAACAGAAGCCCCCTCACTATGTACAAATATTAATGCATCAATAAAAAAATGTGAAAAGAGGAAAAAAGAAAAAAGAGAGGAATGTGCTCAGAGACTAAGTCATTCTTTCAAACCTGTGAATTCTATTTGCCTGTTAAGTTCAAAGTGCAGGTCCACCACCAGGTGGCGACAGACAGCAAGCCATTAACAGGAGGTGGGTGGGGAAGAGCCATTCCCTAGGTTACTGAGAAGGGATGCTGCTGTCTCCAGGGAAGAGAGCTTCCTTGGAGGGCCAGGAGGTGGGCACCTGGAGAACCCCAGTGGTTTAGGCTGGAGAGCAGCCAAACGAAGGAACAGTGCCAAGAGCTGCAGGGATAGCAGCAGGAGGAGGGGATGTGTCAGCCTAAGAGGAGGTTGGTGTGACACAGTAAAGGACAGGGAGGAATCAAGATGGAAGCCACAGCAGCCTCCTTGCAGAGGTTTTCTGTGCCTCTGAGCATAGCAACCCGCTGTTGCTGAGAGGCCACGGGAAACTCCTAGGGTGTAAACATCACCTATGCGCATGCATAAACCTTAATGCATGAGTTTAAAAAAGGGAATCCACCACTGTCCTTGACCCACAGCGCCACGGTACCGCCCCTCGTCTTGCGGATCAGCTCATCTCACACCCCTGAACCTTGGGATGCTCTACTTCTCTCACCGCTGCCTGATGTCCCTTCGCAGCCTCAGGACAAGCTGCACGCAAGAGCCATGCCCACACACCCCCCCTGGAGAAGCAAATCACCCACCGTGAGCTGGTAGTCGGTCCCCAGCATGTACTTCTGCTCCTTGCCGGGCAAGTCCCTGTTGATGTGGCTCACCACGAAGAGCGAGGCGGGGAGACGGATGGAGGGGCTCGCCAGAACACTCCCCCACAGGGCAGCATAGAACACCTCCCTGCCCACCACCAGGGACAGTTTCAGGAGCAGGGCATCTGTCCTAGGGGTGAGAGATGAAAGCTGTGAGGTCTGTCCCACTGTCCCCATCGTACGGTGCACAGCTCCATGAGCAGACTCACCCTGGCTGGGGAATCGCCACTGTTCTCATCATCCTGAGCTGTGGCCATCTCTTGCCCTTCCGTGTTTGTCCACCCAGCCGTGGTGAATCTAAATTTGCTAAAACAAACACATCACCGAGAGGAGCAGCTTCCTGGCCAACAGGAAACATCTGGCTGGGTCGTGTCAAGGTAGCACAGGGACTGTCTCCAACACGCTTTGCCATGGACACAGAGAAAGAAAGGTGGCTCCATCAGCAGAAAGGGCACCAGCAGATCAGCCACTTGATGAAAAGCACAGGAGTCATTTGTGTGTCAGCAAACTAAAGCTGCTGGGACCGACAGAAGACTCGGCAACATACAGATGGCCCCAACCTGGGCACAGCCAGAAACGTGCCAGGTGACATTTGACTTCAGAACACTGGGACAAAACTGGCCAGCTTTCTGCTAGCCTGCAAACGCCCTTGTGCCTGGAGTGGTGTCTTCTTTCACCCTGCCCACAGCGCCTCCTCACGCTGACTGCGCTCTGAGAAGCTCCTGTGCTGGGGCCTGACAGGTACTGGACTCCTATCTTTACCGAGGCCTCCAAGACCCAAAGCCAGCACCTCCTCCTGAGAAGCTCATCAGCAGATCAGGGCCTGTTTTCCATCGACCACAGCCAACCCCATTCCACTGGATAGCAAGGTAACCTCCCTGTCAGCACCAAAAACAACCTGGAGGCTGGTGACAGCACCTGTCAGTGACCCAGCAGAGGCAAATTCCATGCAGAGGTTTCGCATGATGATCTGACTCATGATCTGCAAGGATTTCACTTGTCACATGCTTCCTACTCACAAGGGAGACGGGAAGACATGGCAACACTGGCCCAGTATGATGGAGAAGCTCCCTTTCCAGAGTCAACCCTTCTGCTATGAGGCTTCCTGGCTATGGGACCGAGGACAAGTTCACCTCCTGTGCATGTCCATACTAAGTGATGAGACAGAGCAGAAGCTGCTGTCCCCGTGTGAAAACTCAGTGCAGGAGAACAGGGCCTGCTTGGGCTGCGCCACCAGCTGTGACCACCAGCTCTGCTATCTGCTGAGGAGTGACACACAACAGACGGGGGGAAACCGTCAGATGAATGCCACTCTTTGACTCATGATGACACCAACGACCTGCAGCTCACTTTTCAACCATCAGTTCAGAGTATATAAAAATATTTCATACAAAGACTACACCCTTTATATATGGATCTTGTTCTCCTCAAATGATCTTGTTCTCTTCAAAATGAGTCTGCATCTTTTGTCTCATAAATTATTTGTAGGAAATGATTCACAATATCATCTTAGAAAAACAAAACTGAGGTATAAGTGGACAGCCAAAGGTTTAGGAAAGGTACACAGAACAGTTTCACGGCTGAAGTCATTGACTGGTCATCTATTAAAGGCTGAACAAACAAATAAAGGTTAGCTTTGACAAGGTCAGAAAAAAAATCACAGCAAAAGCTCTAATGCTGGGCAGAAGTCCCACTTGGCGGCTGTAATTATGTCAAGGTGGCGAGATGGGTCAACAGTGCCCTGGACAGGCCTGCTGGGCAGCGTCTGTGTGGAGCAGACAGGATGGTCCTGTCTGCTTATCTGGAGACTCCACAGCAGCAGATTAATCAGGAAGCCCCTGGAGCACGTCTCCGGGATCCCTTCATGACAAGACCGATACCCCCACTGTGTACTGCACATGCACAGCCCCTTGGCCTAGAACACAGCATGCCCAAAGTACGTTCCACACAACACCAGCCACTAGAGGCCCTCTACAGAGGAGGGTTTCCACGATCAAAAAGCCTGGGAAAGGCTGGGGCTGGGGCTCAGCGGTAGCGCACTTGCCTGGCATGTGTGAGGCACTGGGTTTGATTCTCAGCACCACATAAAATAAATAAAGGTCTATCAACAACTAAAATAAATAAATAAATAAAAATAAAATTTTAAAAAGCCTGGAAAATGCTGTGTGTGTCATTCCTTTTCCAATATTCAGGGTACACTGGCTAGATTTCTGCATTAAAGAAATGTAACTTTATTCCTTAAGTTTTACTTTAGTCTAAAAAAAGTTAAAAGGTACTAACAATTTAATCACAATGGAGGAAAAAGCAATCACAACATGTTTTCACTATGGAAGAACAAAATAACTGAGGTTAAAAACCAAGCAACTCTCTGCCGAACGAGAGTCCCTCTGCTCATCTTGACTACTAAATTACAAAATGAGCACATAGCCTAGAAACCAAAACCAATGTTTTAATTCAAAACCAACCACTAACTCTAACAACCCCAAGTGCCCAGCCCTACGATTCCACCTTCCCATTTACTCTGGCTGCTGCCGTCCTGTGCCTCCTGCAGACACAGCCCACTCAAGTGACAACGACCTCTGCTCAGCGTGAAGTGGGTGAGTGGCCTAGGAATGGCATTTTGCACCTTTGGCTCTGTAGCCGCTCGTCCATCTGACAGCCACAGACTGCACAGCTTCCATGTGGTCATCTGCCACTGAACGGGCAGCTTGGTGACAACAGTGTCATACGTCGTGAACCACAGGTCGGACACAGGGCTGAGGGAGGGTGAGAATGAAGCCCAGAACCAGCCACGCTCACTGTCACAGCGCTGGGACCCGACCAGAAGAAATGCTCAATCATTTAAACCAGGGTTTCTCAGCTGGCACAGCGACCCAGGAGGATGGCTGATCCCAGGAGTCTGAGACCATCCTGGGCAACACAGTAAGATCCTATCTCAAAAAAGGGAATAAACAAGTCCGGGCTTCTCTGAATACCCAGTTGCTGTGGGGCAGCTTGTGCACAGCGGTGTTCAGCGCCCCTGGCCTCCACCCTCGCGTGACAGAAACATCTCCAGATACTGCCAAAAGACCCTGAGGGAGGGGCACCGTGTCTGGCTGGAGAACTGCTGGTTTAAATGGAAGTGTCTACCTAGGCAGTTCCTGCTTCCTTACAGACCACCGAAGACTCTCACCTCTCCTGGCTCCAGGGGAGAGGGAAACTCCTCTGGCTTCCCCGTCCTTCCTGTCGGGACAGCAAAACAGCTCGCAGCTACTCTACGGGCACTTTAAAAAAGGGTTTCTGGCCAGGTGTAGGCAGTTTGCAGGCTTCTAAAGGTGGGAAAGCAGAGAGAATCAGGCTTCCTAACACCAGCCAAGGTTTCCATCCCTGTGGTTCTCTAAAAAGTGCAAACCAGGAACAGTCTCCACCTGCAGGACACTTATGGGTGGCCCCGCCCTCCCAGCCCCAGCCTAACTTTGTCTACCAGCATGCACTTTTTTTTTTAAATATACTTTTTTTTTTGTTTTTTTAGTTCTCGGCAGACACAACATCTTTGTTTGTATGTGGTGCTGAGGATCGAACCCGGGCCGCACACATGCCAGGCGAGCGCGCTACTGCTTGAGCCACATCCCCAGCCCCCCCAGCATGCACTTTTGACCCCTCGCACCCACCCACCCTTTCCGGGCTGCACACAATGGCTGCTGGGTGTTCCACTCAGTTCCTAAGCACTTTAGGAAATGTGGGCAAACTGCCTCAGGCTACAATGAAGACCTCAAGAAGACTGTGCAGTGCCCGCCCTGTTCACAAGGCCTGTGCACTCCCACGCAACAGAACCTTTGACCAGCGTCTGCCTTGGAAAGCTGATAACTAATAATTGCTGGGTGCAACAGACCCTGGGGCTTGGTGTTCTATGACAGCTAAGTCTATTCAATGATTCATATAGCTACTCTGCTCTTGGTTCAATGTCAGGAAATATCACTGCAAAGCAACTTTAACCACTGTTCAAGTGCACCTCATTTATTAATTAAGAAAACAAGGAAAAACACTCTATTTACATATAGATACAGTCTGGATCCAGAATGTCCCCAAAGGCTCATGTGTTCCAAGTTTGGACCCCAAGGTGGCAATGTGTGGGGCTTCCGGGCGGTGACTGGATCCTGAGGGCGCTGACCTCATCTGTGGACTAATTCACCAATGGACTCACAACTTGGGGCATTACCTAGAGGTGATGGAAACTGCAGGAGGTAAAGGGCACACCTAGTCCCTGGACTCTTCCTTTCTCTCTCTCTCTCTTTCCCTCTGCTTCCTGGCAGTCACAAGAGAGAAGCTCTACTCTGCCATATATACCCTCTGCCAGAAAGCTCTGCCTCATCACAAGCCCATGGTAATGGAGCCATTCATCTTTCTTCCTTTGAGTTGATTTCTGTCAGGTATTCTGTCACAGCAACAAAAAGCTAACACATACTTCTAGTGTGATTCACAATTACAGATTTAAAAGACAGTGATACATTTGGGGAGTTAATGTGTTCCACCCTCAGATGATAAAAGAAAATATACATGCGCTCTCTCTCTCTCTCTCTCTCTCTCTCTCTCTCTCTCTCTCTCTCTC